ATTGAAAGATTTCATCATTGTCCTTCTCCCGTCCTCGTCCTCCTTCCTCCTCCTCTTCCTCCTTCTCCGTTTAGTGCGCGCGTGCCTTCGCTTAACTTGTATAGTCTGTTTTGTGGGTAGACTGCAGGTTAAGCGTAGGGAAGCGGGGGCTTTGCCTTAGCCATTTTGGGTCCGTAGTCGTTGGCTCGAGATCGAGCCAGGACTCGGGGGCCCACCCACCCCGCTTTGCTCCCTGTGTACCCAGCTCCGCTCGGCTCTCGCGCCGTGCGGCAGCAGGGCGTGCCAGAACGCGCGCGCGCCACTGTGCGCGTGCGCGGGCGGCGCGGCGCCCCGCCGGACCCGCGCCATCAGGGTGGTGCGCGTGGCCGCTTTGCCATTGAAAGATTTCATCATTGTCCTTCTCCCGTCCTCGTCCTCCTTCCTCCTCCTCTTCCTCCTTCTCCGTTTAGTGCGCGCGTGCCTTCGCTTAACCCCCAGAGGTCGCGAGAGGGGAAGGGGATCAGAACTTCTCTTGCTGTGTTTGCTTTCCCGGGGGGCCGATCTAGCGACGATGCATCGCCGACTCCAGAGGCCAATCTGTTCCCCTTAGCTGGCCCCCCCTACGTTGACCCTCACCACGGCCGCCTCCACCCCTCCTCACGGCCTCCTCCCCGGAGGGGGCGGAGGGATCGCTGGCCTCGGCGGGGTCGTCCTCGAGAGAGGCAGCGGTGGGTGGGCGAGCCTGGAGCGGGCCCGTGCTTCACGATCCAGCGCATTCGAGGAGGGACAGGTGCGGGCGGCGCGGCCACGACTGTGAAGGCCTCACGGCTGCACGACGACGACAGCGACGACGACGACGACGACGACGACGACGACGATGACGACGACGACGACGACGACGACGACGACGACGACGACGACGACGACGACGACGACGACGACGACGAGGGACAGGCGGGCGGCGCGGCGAAGATGTCTCGTCATAGTTGCCTGCTCTGACGGGGTGCTGCCCTGGGCGCTGCTCTCTTCGCTCGCTGCTTCGGGCGCGGCGCGCGGCCGCGGGCGCCCCCGGAGCAGCGAGGGGGCCCCGCCTCGTCGCCCCTCGGTGGTGCTGGCACCCGCACTTCGAGGGAAGAGTCGCGGGGGCCATGACCACGACGTCGCGGGGTCTTGTCGATGCCGATCTCTTGGCATCGCTCGGACTTGTGCATTTTTCCTTCGGCGAGGACCATCGAGGAGCATCCTTGATCATTTGGCGAAAAAACCACGCACGAAACCGAAAAAAACACCGGGAGTGGACGTCCGAGCGATGGCCAGATCTTGGTCATGGTCCATGCCGGCCGTCGCCGATCCGCGAGGAGGATCAGCGCATGTCATACGGTCCCAAAAGGGGCCCCAGGGAAAGGGACTTTTGAGACGGGCGACGCCGACTGCTCAAGTCCGCTCGGCTTCGCCCACAGGGTCGCTGCATGACGCTGTCGCTCGCTCTTCTCGAAGTCCCAGACGCAACGCCGCGGTCTCAGAAGTCCCTTTCGCTGGCGTCCCTTTAAGAAACATTTTAACATTGACGCTGACCAACATCGACGGTGATCAAGATCGACACGACGTCTCCGCGCTCAGTCTTGGTCATGGTCCCCGTTGTCTCCACCTCCATCGCTGATTCGGTCGCAGCGCGCGGCCGCGGGCTGCCCTGGGCGCTGCAATGGGCCTCGCGCTTGGGGAGGGGCCAGAGGAGGAGGCGGAGGAGGAGGAGCAGGAGGAGGAGGAGCAGGAGGAGGAGGAGGGGGAGGAGGAGGAGGAGGAGGAGGAGGAGGAGGAGGAGGAGGAGGAGGAGGAGGAGGAGGGGGAGGAGGGGGAGGAGGAGGAGGAGGGGGAGGGGGGGGGAGGATGGCGTGTCGCTCCGCCAGTTCTGGCCAACCGCGCTCTGGAGCGACACGCTGTCCTCCTCACGGGCCCTGGGGCGTCGACGCCCCGAGCTTCCCCGGGCCTCCCGCCCCGCGAAGCGGAGCGACACGCAATCCGCGTGCCCTGCATAGCGGTAAGTCGGGCCTGTCCCTTTGCAGGAGGAGTGTGCCAAAATAGTCAAAACATAGTCTGGGGACGATGTTTTGATTTTTTTATACCATTTTTGGCGTATTTTGGTTGTATTTGTTTCCCTACCTGGGCTCTGCCTAGAAGGGTTCTTACTCGGTTTGCTGAAAGGGGCCGGGCAGTGCTACCCGCCCTGGGCGGTTCCCCCAGTTGCGCTTCATGGGTGCCAAGCAAAAGCAAAAGCAAAAGCAAAGGCAAAAGTGAAGGCAAAGGCGAAGGCAAAACAACAACATCGCATAGCATAGCATAGCATAGCATAGCATAGCATAGCATAGCGCAGCATATAATAGCGCAGCATAGCATAGCATAGCCTAGCCTAGCCCAGCATAACATTCCACAGCATAGCATAGCACATCATAGCACAGCATACCATAGCAGAGCATAGCACAACATAGCATAGCATAGCATAGCATAGCATAGTGCACCACAGCATCCACTATTGCTGCTGCTGTGTATATATACACATATGTACTTATATGTGTGTGCGCACGTATGTTCCATGCATGTTGTCCGTCTGTGGGCCATCTTGAGCCCTTAGTGGGGCAGCTTGAGCCCTTACGATTCACGAACGTTTCGCACATAGCACTGGCCTGGAGACATGACACCCGACGTATTGAGCACACACAAAAGCACAGCAAACGCAAAAGCAACGCAAACACAACAGCAACAGCAACAGCAAACGCAAACGCAAACGCAACGGCGAAAGCAAGGGCAAGAGCAACAGCAAAGGCAATGCACATCAAACTCAACACCAATGCGAAAGTGTAGATGTAGATGTAGGTGTAGGTGTAGGTGTAGGCGTAGTTGTGGATGTAGGTATAGATGTAGATGTAGATGTAGGTGTAGATGTAGATGTAGATGTATATGTAGATGTTAGTATCGCTGTTGATGTTGATGTAGATGTATATGCAGGTGTAGATGTAGATGTAGCTGTCGGTGTAGATGTAGATGTTGCTTTCCTAGAGGCTCCAACTCCTGGGTAGGGTCGCACTGGGATAATTTCCGTCGAAGGACCCCTTGTAGGGGGACATGCTCGACCTAAGCATAGCGTGTCGCAGAGGCCGCCGTGGCGACACGCTATTCAAAAGTTCCCGACCGTTTCACTGTACAGCGAAAGGAAGCAACAAGTCCACTGCTGTCCGTGGAGGACGCACCTCTGGGTAGGGCAACATCGGCGATCCGACGCACATTCAGATCCGCCCCGATGTCCCGATTCGATGCTGACTGACCCTGACGGTGGCAATAGGTCCCTGGAAAGGAACAGCAGTGGCTGAAGGGTGCGAGACAGCGGTGGTGCAGAAGGGACGACCGCGAGGGGGGAGCGGGAAGAGAAGGAGGATGAGGAGGGCTTACATCCGATGCGCTGATTTTTCAATAAGGGGTCTCCAGAAGTCCCAGCTCATTTCCCAGGGCCAGTGCTGCATCCCGAGTCTTTCTTCGATGGCCCCAGGGCCCAGCGAGGGCACCCAGAGGCCGAAGACGGCCAGACATCTCCCGCCGTGATGGTCTGCGACGCGATCATGTCTGCTGAGGAGGAGGAGGACGAGGGGGGGGCGTCTGAATTGTGCCTCCTCCCCACCTCTCTCCGCATCTAGGAAGAGGGGGCGAGCAAGGCTCCGCTGGGCTGGGGTCAGCCGAGCTGGCCCGTCGTTCTCTGGTGGCTTTTGCAAATTCTCGGCGCCCGCCAGCCGTTATTCTCTGGCGGCGGGGTCCAATAATGCAGCAGGCACATCACATAGGTAAGAAAGCAGACTGCCAGCTAGTGCCCCTCTGGGATTTCTGATTCCCTGGCGACCCCGGGCAGAAGTTGGAGTGGATCGTCTTCCCGCGAAGGCCGACATCAACCGAACAATGTGCCCCTAGAATTCTTGTAGCACAGTTTCTTGGCGTGCGTACCCACTGCGCGCCTGCACCCACAGAAACTAATACGAGCGCAACGAGGTAAGACATGTTACAAATGATCTGCGGATCGAAAGAAAAAGACAGTTTTCAGGGTCATGTCTAACCAGGCCGTGTCATCAGACAACTCGAGCAGTTGCGAACATTGCTGGTTTGCCTATAGGTCCACCGAAGAATAGTATAAGACCCTTGTGTGGTTTGCAAGGCATGTTCTTAGAGGATTTCTAGCGGAGACGGTCTTGTTTCAACACATCGGTGGTGTGTTACACTAACACTGTTCTTACTCTCAGAACAGAACGCTCTTTGGTTCTAGGAGCACGTCTTTGTAGGCCTATATGAATGAAGGCCCGGGCGATCGGTCCCTGCTTCAAAAAACGGACGGGGCCAGAACGAAACAATAGCTTTCTTCCTGACCGCCGTGGGTGCACACCGATCCTGGCCAGACAAATCTTGTGCCCAAGACGGGCTTGCCATGGGCCGCATCCTCCAAGCCCGACGCGCCTCTGATTCTCATGTTCCTTCTCGTCGTCGGCCATCGCCCTCTTCCTCAGCCCTTTTCCCTCCTGTCCACGTTGCCAGAGTTGAGTCGTAGGATGTGGCGCAGTGAACTGGCTTGAGACGTTGTCGTGTGTCTTGCCAGGCGCGCCCCGCAATTCAGCTCGCGCGCAGGCACTACGGCATACATTCAGACGCGCGCCACTTGTGCATTCGTGTTTGGGGCGCGGCGCCCGCTTTCCCAGCTTGCTATCTTCCACTGCGCACGTAAACATCTTCAGGGTCCAACAGCATAGAGACGATAATGCCGCAGAAAGCCAGCGTGCCCGGTGTCACAGTTTTCTGAGTTTGCCCAGTGACGATGTTAAGCTACCTAGGACCTCCACATAGCGGAGCTACACATTGTACAAGCAATGCCCATGCCGAGAATGTGGCTTGGCAACAGCACGCCTGCATGATGTGGTAATGAGAGTGTTCATCTTCCCGCGCTTGGGCTCATGGCCCTCATACTTGTACTTCCTTCCACTTCGGCTCAGGTGCTGGTGTGGGTATGCTGGCAACGACAGCCTTCGGCTTGGCCACGTCCCGAGGGCTTGCTAATCAGATGAGCGCCAGGGCAAAGAGAAATTGCAAGGATATGATAGCAACGTTGCGCTGCGCCGCTTCTTGCGCAAGGGGCTCGTCAGATCGGAGCGCAAAGGTGCCTTTAGACAGTCCGGAAGCACCGCCCGAGTTTCCTGAGAGTTCCAGGGCGAGGCCTCGAGGAGCGGCTCGATCCCTGGTGACAGTCGAAGATCTCTGGCACCCCCCGGCGCAGGGAGGGTCCAGCAATCTCCACACGAGCAGTTTTCCAGGGGTGCCCTCGCATCCTTGCGTCTCGACCCATCCCAGCCATCCGTTCCCAGTTATTGGCCATGCACTTTCAATGTCGGCTTCATGCCCACGAGTCACGTACCTTTGCGCATCCTGATGATTACGTCGGGCATGTCCCTCTACAGGGGGATTGCTGACCAGTCTTAATTATTTTTGAATATTTGTTCTGACTATTTCTGTTCTCCTGTTCAAAATCCGCCTGTGGGGGGAAGTTGCCCGACCTAACCTTATGATCCGGTCGCACTGTAGCACTGTAGCCCCCAGGAGGTTTCAGGAACCTCCACTTTTCCGCGCCCCTTGACTTGGAATTGACATGGACGTGTGGGGTTTTTGTTGGTGTGTAGAAGTCAGAATGCCAGGGGCCATTCTTCAGGAAGGGCACACTCAAGGAGCCACTTTCCAATAGATTCCTTCAATCCACGGTGAGGTGATGCCGATGCCATTCGATGAGCCTTTCGACTCGGCCGCCTGCCACCTCCAGCGTTCAGTGCCCAGCCTTTCTTTGGTGTGGATCCCACGCTTGATGCAGGCACCCTGCTCGTGGACCCTACCGGGGCCATCCAGATGATGATGATGACATTGACCAGGCCACTAGGAGATTCGTCTAGAAGCAGAAGAAACGTATGGCTTATGAGCAAATTCGATGCTATCTGGCAGCTGGCTGCGCAGACGCTCTGTCCTCAAATGTCGTTGGGCATGAGCTCACGCCTGAACAGAACTTGCATGTTGAGGGTCAGGTCCGGGAAATGCCCCCCGACTGTTTTCAAGCCTGGAAGCGTCTCGCCCTCCAGCAGCGCATCTTCCAAGGGTGTTGCCGGCGCACCCGCGCTTTAGCGCACCGGCGCGCGTCCAGGGGATTCCCGACGCTTCGCGCAACCCCACCCGCCCATTCAGAAACGATGCCCAGAGGAGTTGCCTCGATCAGGGAAGTGGGCAGCACGCAGAGAAAGGGTCCCCCAGTGGAGGCCTCTTGGAGCGTCTTGGGGGCCTCTTGGCGGTCCTGGAGGCCTCTTGGAGCGTCTTGGATGCCTCGGGGAGCTTCTCGGGGCCTCTCTTGGGGCCTCCTGAGGCCTCATAGGCGTCTCTTGGGGCGCTCTTAAAGCGCTCTCGGGAGCCTTGGGAGCGCTCTGGGGGCCATCTTGTAGGACGTCGATCAAACAAGAGGGGAGCTTTGATTAAGGTTGCCCTCCCCCAAGAGGCCAAATGGAGCCAACATCATTCCGAAACATACAACACTTCGCGACCGGCCCCGTCCAGGTCCAGGGGAAGGGGTATGGGGAGGGGTCAAGTTAGCCAACTCGAACGAGCCAGAGGGCTCCGTCCACTCCCACCCGCCCTCCAACAACATAAGAAGCAAGTGCGTCGCGTCCGACGTCTGTCGCTCATCTGATATCGTGGGCGGGTAGACGTTCAGCGCGCGCAATGAGCTGCGTCCTATTCCTGCGACGTCGACGAGAAACAAGACCGCGCGCGATGTACGCCGCGCCCCGCTCCGGCCTCTCATGTTGCATCGTCGGCGACAACATGTCCAGCGCGCGAAGTGCGCCGCGTCTCATTCCAGCCACGCGTGTTGCACCGCCAATCGTGTCGCTCCTGCCGCGCATGGAGGAGGGGGAGGAGGAGCAAGAGGAGGAGGAGGGGAGGGAGAGAGGGAGGGAGGGAGAAACTGAGGAGGAAGAGGAGAATGACTCTTGGGACTTCGCGGGGCGTCCTGGGAGCTTTCTGGTATACGCCTGAAGGCTTCTTGGATAAATCCTCCGTGTTGGAACATTGTCAACACAAGTAGGTGCTAGCCTCACAATCTTTCAAACACCAAATGGAAAACAACAAAATTGTGTTGTCCCCCCAGGACCTCCTGGACGTTTTTTCTACCTCTTTGGGGTCTCCTGAGGCACTTGCTTGGGCCGCACTTGCTTGAAGCATTATGACTTGCCTCCCGCCCAGCTCCTCAAACCGACGGGCCGCAGCGTCGACGACAAGAAAGTCCATGTTGACGAGCAGGCGTCCCCGCGCGATGCGCGCCATGTCCCATGCCCGCTACGCGATTCGCAGCGCCGGCGAAGAACAAATACATGTTGGCAAGCACAACGTCGACGTTGCGGTGTTTTTTGGCAGGTAGGACGGGGGGTCCCGCATAGGGTTGCCCAGGCGTCCGCGCGCGATGTGCGCCGCGGCCCACTCCTGTGCTACACTTTTCTTCGCAGCGTCGACGACAAGAAAGTCCATGTTGACGAGACAAACGTTGAGCGTGTGTTATTTTTGATGGGTAGGAGGCGACCACCCGCTTAGGGTATCCCACGCGATGTTCATTCCGTCACATTCTTGTTGCACTTCTCGCAACTCGACGACATGTTGGCGGTAAACAGTGAGTATGCTTTTTATTGGCAGTTTGGACGGCGAGATTGCTATCGGCCGGCTAGGTGAGGACGTGGGGGCGTTTAATCACAGGAAAGAAAGAGAAACACATATCCCGAAGAGGAAGAGGGGCTGACGGAAGACAGAGCGCCCTCGACCACCTGCCTTGCAAATGTGGTAAGGTTACAACACGAGACATGAACCACCCTGGATTTGGAAATACAAAACATGCCAAGCGGAGGGAACAACTCGCAATGCTGCTTGTGTGTCATCACAGCATCATATCCTGCTCCCCTGTCCTCCCTCTGACTTACGTTGTCCTTGTTGTTCGTTCTCCCCCCAGACATCCGACGCCATCCGTTTGTTCGCGGAGTGGCTTCCCCGGACCCGTCGACCCCATCACCATGGGAACACATTGTCCCTCCCAGGTTGTTCTGTTCCCACATGTTTCGTGGGGTTATGGTTTTCTTCCCTGCCCCGCGTTCCCCTCACCTCCCCTCCTCCTTTTTCTTTCTCCTTTCACCCGCGCGCAACACATGCACGGCACGTACATGATACACCACGCAAGACATGCGCGACAATCAAAAGCGCAGCATTTTCTCGACAACAGAGGGAGGGCGCAGGGGGTGGTCCCTCAGCGTGGCTTCTGCACTTCGTCGCAACCAGGGGGGGGGCGCAGGGGGTAGTCCTTCAGCGCGGCCACTGTGCGCGCCAGGGTCGGACTGCGTGGCAGCCGTTGCACTTTTCCGACCCCACAGGGGGTGCGCAGAGAGTGGTCCTTCCTCAGTGCGTCCTCCATGCGCGCCAGGGTCAGAACGCGTGGCAGACGTCGCATTCTCTGCGCCAGAAGGGGGTGCGCGGAGGGTAGTCCCTCAGCGCAGTCTCTATGCGTGCCAGGGTCGAAAAGCGTGGCACGTGTGGCATGTTCTCCACACCGGAGGGGATGCGCAGAGAGTGGTCCCTCAGCGCGGCCCCTATGCGTGCCAGGGTCGGAACGCGTGGCAGGCGTGGCATTTTGTCGCCACCAGAGGGGGTGCGCGGAGGGTAGTCCCTCAGCGCAGTCTCTATGCGTGCCAGGGTCGGAAAGTGTGGCACGTGTGGCATCTTCCCCACACCAGAGGGAGTGCGCAGAGAATGATCCCTCAGCGCTGCCCCTATGCGTGCCAGGGTCGGAGCGCGTGGCAGGCGTGGCAGTTTGTCGCCACCAGAGGGGGTGCGCGGAGGGTAGTCCCTCAGCGCAGTCTCTATGCGTGCCAGGGTCGGAAAGTGTGGCACGTGTGGCATCTTCCCCACACCAGAGGGAGTGCGCAGAGAATGGTCCCTCAGCGCGGCCCCTATGCGTGCCAGGGTCGGAAAGCGTGGCAGGCGTGGCCTTTTTGTCGCCACCGGAGGGGGTGAACGGGGGGGGTCCCTCATCGCGGCCACTATGCGTGCCAGGGTCGGAGTGCGTGGCAGCCGTTGCATTTTCTCGACACCAGAGGGGGTGCGCAGGGGGTGGTCCCTCAGCGCGGCCCCTATGCGTGCCAGGGTCTGAAAGTGCGGCAAGCGTAACACTTTCTCGACACCAGAGGGGTGCGCAGGGGGTAGTCCCTCAGCGTGGCCCCTATGCGTGCCAAGGTCGGACAGCGTGGCTGCCGTTGCACTTTCTCGACGCCAGAGGGGGTGCGCGGGGGGTGGTCCTTCAGCACGGCCTCTACGCGTGCCAGGGTCGGAAAGTGTGGCAGGCGTGGCATTTTGTCGCCACCAGGGGGGATGCGCAGAGGGTGGTCCCTCAACGCGGCCCCTATGTGTGCCAGAGTCGGAAACCGCTGCAAGCGTAACAGTTTCTCGACTCCAGAAGGTTGCGCAGGGGAGGGTGGTCCGCCACGGTGCGTGACAGGGCCGGACAGTGGCATGCATGGCGGCCAGAACTGTAGACGTCGTGGTCCAAACTGGAGGTGATGTCTTGCCGCCCGCACCGCTCATGCCGCCCAGATGTCCCATTGACGTACTGCCGCCTCCGCGTTTGAATCTCAAGAATTCCATAGCTGACGCAGGTGTCGAGGTTAGCATCGTCAACTTGGGCAGTTGCGGGGCGGCAAACACATAATATTGAAATTAAGTATGTGGGGTCCCTCGGTAGCGTCATTGATGTGTCTCGTGATTTTTTTGGCATGTGCTTGGCGTGTCAGTTTTCCCACGCTCTTGCATGCATTTGGCGTGTCTGCGCACGCGACTAGACGGAAGCAAGGATCAGTGGGTGGGCGGGGGTCGTTTTCTGACACCCTCAGTACCCGAAGCGGGCCTCCACATGTCAAGAGGTAAGGGAAGCCGGGCGTGTCTGTGCGTCTTCCAGCCCAAGAGGGCTATCCCCCTCAAGCCGATCCCCAGACCCTATCCAGGGGCGCGTGCTGGCCAACGTTTCGAGAAGCCTGCAACCGAACATTGCCAGAGCTGCTGTCGCCGCGTGCTTGCGGACCTGCTCCTGGGCGCTATTCCATTCCGCTCCGTTTCATGTGGGGGATCAGCGAAATACCGATACTGGTGCTCCTTGGACCTCGCCGTGGATCCCGAGGCGAACCCAGCGGCGGCGACGAGGGACGGGCAGCGGCATCGGCGCCCTCTTCTCCTCTGACCGCCGCGCCTCCCTCCCAGCCCCGCGCGCGGCCGCCCTCTCGTGCGATCACCGCCCTCCCGGCCCCTTCAGGTCCCGCGGGCGCGCTGGGCAACGCCAGGGAACTGGAGCGCCCCTGGTCCGCGACCGCGCTCGTGCGGGGCGCCCGGGGTCCTCGGCGTCCCACGGCGCGCGCGCGCAGGAGCGGCCGTGGGGAAGGCAGAGGGCGCGGGAGGATCCAGGATCCAGAATTTGTGGTACCCTTGCCGAGGTTGAGGATAGAGGGGATCGAGGATCGAGATGGAGGGCGGAGGATCGAGGCGAAGCGGACGATCCAGGATGGAGGCGTGAGGTGGGGGATCGTGGGCCGGGGTGGGGGGGCGAGGAATTGCGATCGTTCCTCCGCTTGGCCCTTTGGGGGGCCTCCATGGCGACGCTTGTCGGCACGGGATTGTGCTTTTTGATCGTCTTCCTCCTCGTTTTCATCCTCGACCCCTCGCCCTTTTTCTGCTGCTGCTCTTGCTCTTCCTCCTCTTCCTCCTTTGCCCCCCGCCGTTTTTTTCACTCGATCACAAGTCCCGCCTATCGCACCCCTTCCTTGCCTGTGCCACTGCTGCCTTGCTTCCGCCGCCGTCTACAGGAAACTTCCCCCCGCGTCTGGTGTTCATCGCTACTGTAGATGTTTTACATTATGCTGTTCATTCCATTTACGGAGAACATCTTTCTCTTCTCACACCTATTTCCCCAGATGGTATTGTCGCATTCGCTCCGTTCCCACGGCCGTTCTGTTTCGCCAGGCTTCGACAGCAACGGTTTCCCCACCCCGACGCTCCTCACCCCGCTGTGCATCCCGCTGTTCACTTATCGCCTTCGTGCGCCTGCTCCCTTTCCCCGTGGGACGAGACGTTACTTCAGGGTCCGTTGGGGCAGTTGCCCATCCGCCAGGACGGGTGACCGGGATGGCGCACACTTATTTCAACAAGGACGTCGACAAGACCTCAACGACGTCGGCCGCGCCGCCTACGACAACGAATTTGGTGGCGCGCTGGAGCTCTCAGCGATCCCTCCCGCAATGCGCAGGCGAGGAGGAACACTTTCGGGGCAAGTATCCACGGCGGCTCGGAGGCACGTTTCCCGAGTGGCGTTGCTGGTGGATCTCCGGCCTCCAGCACCTCCACGACACGCTGAAGGAACTTTTTCCTGGATGGAAGGCCGTCGGAGTGGGCATGATTACCATCGACAGCTGCGTTGCCTGCGCGGGCGCAGGCGGTGGCAGCGGCAACATGTGACACATCCGCACTGTGGGGCCCGAGCGGCAAGCTCGAGCGCCCTTCCGCGGGTGAGTCCGTGAGACTATGATCTGCTCAGTGGCGATGTCAGACCTTAACGAGCTCGGCAGGTGGTCTACGTCTCTTCGTGCCTCACCAGCACGGCGCGCGAGTGCGTGGACGAATGTCCGCCCGCTATCCTGATCCAGGGATGATTCATCAACGGCAACCCAGTGCCACCGATGACCTTCCGCGCGCACAGCTTGGCCGAACGGTTGGGCCAATTGGGAGAGGAGGAGCGCGCTGCGGCAGTATCGGCACGAATGGGTTTCAACCGAGTGCCGCAACAGCGCATCGGCTACCTCCTCACGAGGTTCGGCATCCTACGCAACTGGGAGCAGCATGATCACGTGGTGCGCGCCGTTGGCGTGTCGAACATCCAACTGGCAATGATCTTGCAGCACCGCAACATGGCCTACCCAACTAACGCCCAGCAGCTGACGCACATGAAGGACCAGCTGCGGCGTTTCGGGCGCATGGACGAGGGATCGCCAGGCGACATCACCCCGGCGGCTCCACTCTGCCCTACAACGCGCCTCTTATGTGGGCGGCCACGCAAGATCAGGTTCAGGGTACCTGTGGCACCAGCGCCGCATCGAGTTGAGCTGTCATGGGCCTTGTTGCAATGGGACCGCCACCGATCCCACTTGCACCAGCTGCCGCCGGCGACACCAGACACCCTTCACACATCCTTTCTGAAGAAAATCAATTTGGATGGACTCCGGATGTCGCTTTCGACAAGCAAGAATCTGGATTGGGCCCTGGTCGTTTTCTTGGGGCTTCGCCTCTTCGTAGAGTGTTCGAATATCTGGGCCTGGACTACCGTCCAAAAAAATTGTGGCATAAAGCCAATTTCTTCAGCCTGAAGATTTCTTCACTCGAACCACGGCTGTATCCCACTTTCACCTTCCGCTGGCTTGCGGCGCGCATGGTGGCGGTGCAGGCCGTTTTCTTCCTCGGGTCCATCCGCTCCATGCAGTTCATCCAGCGCTGAGCTTCCCGCCCGCGCCATGCGCTGCTTGCGCGACAAGCGTCGCGCGTTTTTCTGAGTCCGACGTGATTTTCGACGTCGTATGTATTCAGCAATAAACTTTCGATTTTTTCAGCGGTGGAGGTAGGGGAGTTGGCGTCGGCGGTGTGGAGGAGGTTTTAAATTTATCGTCGCGGCGAGGGACTTAAGCTGATGCAGTTCACGGTGCGTCGGCTCCTCGCACAAGAAAGAATCGCCCCCTCGCCCCCCCCGTCTGGTCGATCAGGACGACCAGCGCCCTCCGACGTCCGAGGTCGTCGCAGGCCCCCCGAGTCGGCACGAACGAAATTGGCACAGAAAGAATGTGTACAATACAGTGCCCAACAGCAGTTCTTGCTCATTTTGAACAGGACTCGCTGTCCGCTCCGCCGGGGCTGTGTCCGTTTGAGACAGAAGGCCGCCTGCCCAACAGCGGCCGCTGTTGGTTTGGAACAACATTCGTTGTTGGGCATTGTGCTTTTTTTTTCCGTACCCATTTCGGGCGTGCGCACCGAGGGCCACGAAGGGGTCAATTTTTCGAAGGGTTCGCACGGCCAAGGAGGGGCATGCGGTAGGTTCTTGCCGCGCCGACGCGGCTGTGACCCCGGGCGCGGGCGTCCAAGGTTGAGCGCCGCCAGTGGCGTGGAATCTGCCGACGCCGGCGTCCGGCGCCAGCGGAGAACCGCTATTGCTCGAGGTTGGTCGATCCACGTGGTGCGAGGAGCCAGCGCGCAAGCCGTCGCGGCGCGAAGTTTCCGTGCACCCGATGTGCTCGACCTGGAGTTAAACCCTTTTCCGGCCTGCGGGCTACAGGCCTTGGTTCAGACCGACAGGGCTCGTTTCGATTCCTCCGGTGCAATCCGGTTCGATTTCGATGGTTTCCAATTTTTTATCCGATTCGACTTGAGAATCCGATGTGCGTTCCGCTTTCTCATTGGAGGCAAACTAACCTGCCGTTTTCCGCCGAATAGTTTTTCCCGACTCTGCTGCCGATTCCCGCCGATCCGATTCATGTCGATCGTTGGTCCGACTTATCGATTCGATTCTGGGCTCTTTTTGACCGAGGGGGGACGACTAGGAGAGAAGGGGCCGCGCGTGCCCTTGGCCCCCGTGCGATGCTGGGAGACGGCCCGGTTCGGCCAGCGGCCCGCGCAGTGGAGTCTAGATCTACGAGGTATAGATCAGCAAAACAACGAGGTATTATCTTTGCTGCCTGAATTCGTTTGCCTTTGTAGCTAGTGCATCGTGCAACGCGTTGCTTACGCGTTGCTTACGCGTTCAGCCCCGTTCTCCCTTGCGTGGTCGAAGTCGAAAGACATGTGTTGCGTGCGTCAATGCGCGCGTCTGTCATGCGAGGGTCGCTTCCGGTGTTGCGTTTGCCGTGCAGGGCCTTCCGGAAGTTGTTCGACTCGCTTTGCGGTCGTTGCGCGTTGTGCAGGTCCCGTGGGATAGCACCCCTGGATGTTGTTTCTGTGCCTGGGGGCTGCCGCGTTTAGCTGCTTGTGTGCATCTCGATTGCCGTCTGAGCGGAATCCCGTTCAACTGAAAATTCCTTCCTGCCTCTTTCCTCCTCGCTTATCTCTGCCTCTTCTTATATTTGTCTTCTCTCCCTGGCCCTGATGCCGCCCGAACGCCGAACGGATCGAAGTTCGATCCTCGAAGATCGATGTTCGAAGTTCTTTGGCAGTCGGGGCCCCGCCTCGTCGCTGCGGCTGGACGCAGCTCGAACAACTGGTGCGTTCGGGCTTCGGGAGGGGCCTGGGGGCCTCTTTAGCCGGTGGAAGAGCTGCTACTCAGGTAGGCACATTTGCTCCTTTGCATGAAGAGTCATGCGTGGCATCGCGCAAAAACACACACACACATTCGCGCGCGCACGCACGCACACACACACACA